GCTGTCTCATGACGTGCCAGGTGCAGGGTCTGCTGGCTGGGCGCTGGCAGGCTTGTAACTGGTACAAACGCTGTAGCCAGACCGTGGCCCTTTAAGGGCTCCAGGCTGGGAGGGGGGCAGAAGAGTTTCCCTGGTGGTGCCTAGAGTGGCCACCAGGGCAAGCTGGGAGGGGCTAGCCTCCCATTAGTTCGAATTAAGTGGCTACACAGCCCTTAATTCGAACTACTTAATTCGAACTAGGCGTTAGTCCTCGTAGAATGAGGTTTACCTAGTTCGAATTAAGCGCTCCGCTAGTTGGAATTAAGTTCGAACTAGCGGTTTGCATGTCTAGCGCCTATTAAAATTAATTCGAACTAACGGCTGTTAGTTCGAATTAACTTTGTAGTGTAGACATACCCCCACTGAGCTGCCCACACCCAGATTCTTCTCCCTCTCCCCCCCACCTTACTGCTCCACACACTAACCCCTCCACACCTGGGCCATGCCGTGCTGAGCCTGCCCAGCCACACCTGGCACAGAGGGGCAGGCCCAGCCCTTACACTGTGCAGGGTCAGGGGCACCCTCACAGCCGAGCTCCTGTTCTCCGGGAGGGTGAGCTTCAGTACGATCTGCCTACTTCAGTGCAGCCGGTGGCCTGTGCTCCCCTCTGCTAGGAATGTGGAGATCAGGTGGTTCTCCATGGCCCACACTTCCAGTGTGACATTGGCTCAAGGGGAACCTTTCCACTGCTTTGGCAAAACAGTGGATAGGGACTTAATTGTCCTGTGCCTCAGTTTCTCCATTGGAAGCATGGGGCTAATGGTACCAGCGCCTGCCTCGCAGGGGTTGGTGTAATGCCTTTGGTCTGGGTGAGGTGGGACCATGCTGAGTGCGTCGGACACTCCCTAGTAAGAGGGGTCCCAGCCCTTGCAGGCTGTCTGCATGTCAGCATGCAGCGTGATGCAAAAACTATGGTTGACATGCAGGAGGCAGATGAGAGGGAAAGGAGCCCAGCAGAGCTGGCTGCATTTTACTGAAGCCTGTTTGAAAGTGCAGGAACAAATCATCCCCATGTGCAGTAAGAAAAGCAAATATGGCAGGTGACCAGCTTGGCTTAGCAGTGAAATCCTTGGGGAGCTTAAGCACAGAAAGGAAGCTCACAAGAAGTGGAAACTTGGACAGATGGCTATGGCAGAATATAAAAACTAAGAGCTGTTCAGAAAAGCTGGGCATGAACAAGTCTATCAGGCTGTATCTAATGCAGCTGAAGGTGCTGAGGGAGTTGGCTGATGTCATTGCAGAGCCTTTGGCTATTATCTTTGAAAGCCCATGGAGATCTGGGGAGGTCCCAGATGATTGAAAAAAGGCAAATATAGTGCCCATCTTTAAGAAGGGAAGAAGGACAATCCAGGTTCAGGCTTTCCTCACTCCCTGGAAAAATCAGGGAGAGGATCCTCAAGGAATCCATATTGGAGCACTTGGAAGAGAGGAAAGTGATCAAGAACAATCAACATGGATTCAACAAGGGCAAGTCATGCCTGACGAACCTGTTTGCCTTCTGTGACAAGGTAACTGGCTCTATGGATATGGGGAAGTCAGTGGATACCTTGACTTTAGCAAAGCTTTTCCTATGATCTCCCTTCTCCCACAATATTCTTTCCAGCAAATCAAAGAAATATGTATTGGATACATGAATTATGAGGTGGATAGAAAGCTGGCTAGCTCTTTGAGCTCCTTGGGTCGTAATCAATAGCTTGATGAATGGTGTGGCAGGGTCAGTCCCACACAGGACTGGCTCCCAGACCCCTATTCTGCCCACTGTCCCAGGCTGCATCTAGACTGGCATGATTTTGCACAAACACATTTAATGGAAAAGTTTTTCCATTAAAAGTATTTGCGCAAGAGAGTGTCTATACTGGCATGTGCCCTGCAAGAGGTCCTATAGCACGCAGCAGGAGAGAAACGGCTGTCCGGGGAGATCCCTTTCAGCACGTGTCTCAAGGAGCTCCAGCCCCCATCCCCGGAAAGGGCCGGTGCCCTTTTGCCCTCTTCAAAATGGTTCCAGGCTTCTGCTTTTGCGCAAAAGTGTCCCGCCAATGTAGATGTGCTTTTGCGCAAAAGCGCATTGCTCTTACGATGACTCCTGGACCAATCCAGACGCTCTCTTGCGCAAATACTTTTAACGGAAAAACTTTTCTGTTAAAAGTATTTGTGCAAAATCATGCCAGTCTAGGCGCACCCCCACAGTTTAGGGGCCCTGATACAAGTCTTACTCGCCAGGTACGTCTAGACTGGCATGATT